TGGGCCACCAGCTGTGGGAGCGGGGCGTCTCATCTTGGGCCACCAGCTGTGGGAGCGGGGCGTCTCATCTTGGGCCACCAGCTGTGGGAGCGGGGCGTCTCATCTTGGGCCACCAGCTGTGGGAGCGGGGCGTCTCATCTTGGGCCACAAGCTGTGGGAGCGGGGCGTCTCATCTTGGAGTAATCTTTCTAACATTTCTATGGCATTATACACCCAGTTGTCAGATGTTTAGTAGCTGCACGTTCAGGAGTTCATGGAGCTCCTGGACTGTCAGATTATATGATGGACTGTGTTTTGCTGCTCTTCTGAACGCCATATTTTGCATATTGATTGTCCCTCTCTGTCCCTCACCACTATGGTGGACACGTAGCTGGGCGGCGGAGTGGGAGGTGGTGAGAGGGGTACCTGGGTGACTGGGGGGTGGGAAGGGAGGCAGTAAGCTTGACAATAGCAGGAGGAGAAAGGCTGTAGCACTGACTTATCAGTGACACCTCCCTCCCTCCCTCCCTCCCGCCCCAGACTATAAGTGTTCAATAGCCACTACAGCGTTATCTAGCGCGACTCGTACTGCTCTAACCCTGTCCATCGACGACTGAGGATAAAGTATATAAGCTGGGGTCTTATGGCTTCAGTGAGGCGAGGAAGGGCGGCGAGTAGGTTGGTAGTTGTGTGTAGACGATGGCGGGGCGGGGCGAGGCGAGGGCGAGGGCGAGGCGAGGGCAGGCGAGGGGGAGGGCGGGGCGAGGGCGAGGCGAGGGGGAGGGCGGGGCGAGGGCGAGGGCGAGGCGAGGGCGAGGGCAGGCGAGGGGGAGGGCGGGGCGAGGGCAGGCGAGGGGGAGGGCGGGGCGCACACGTACTGATCACTGACTACGGGGAAGTAGCACTTTATGCCCCGCCTACTATCCTTGTTGTACCTGTTGCGTTGTATTTCAACTATTCTGACTGTCGAAGTGTCTCACGTGTTGACCACTCGCACTGGCCACGAGAAATATTGAATTCCATGTGATTTTCTCGCATTTTATCGACTCATTTGCGTTTTTAGCTTCCGTTTATAGCAGATTTTTTAATAATTTGCAAAGATAACATGAAGCTGTGACTAGTATTTTTGTCTATATCCGAGATAAGAATGAGAAATAGCAGTGGTGTAAGGACTGTGCCCTGAGAGTCAAGGCTTTTCACTGCACTTGAACTTGATCTTATCTGATTGACCGTCACTCTCTGCATTCTGTTTGACAGAAAGTTGAAAATCCAATGCACGCCTTTATCCGTTATTTCAACTGATCTCATTTTATTGGCTATGCCTCCACAGTCACATTTTGTCGAATGACTTTGCAAAGTTTGTGTATACATCATCTGTATTTTGCTTTTCTTCTAAGGCCTCGGTGATGGGTTATCTTAAGGTTATCTTGAGATGATTTTGGGGGCTTAGCGTCCCCGCGGCCCGGTCCTCGACCAGGCCTCCTTTTTGATACACCCCCTCAGGAAGCAGCCAGTAGCAGCTGTCTAACTCACAGGTACCTATTTACCTAATTTATGGTATTTCGGCTAATTCGCCTTCATCAGAGCAAAGTAGAATGAATTCTACTTTGCTCTGATGAAGGCGAATTAGCCGAAAACGCGTTAAGCATTTTCTATTTTTCACATGTGGTTATTCTGCACATATATACATATATATATATATATATATATATATATATATATATATATATATATATATATATATATATATATATATATATATATATATATATATCCATTGTATTGTGACGTGATCTGGAATAGAGCAGTAACCATTCTGGCAGGTGGTGTACCAAACGCACATTAATAAAAAAAAAGAGAAATCAAAATAAAGCAAATCTGCTTGGGTCTTCTACAGGGTATCAATTGCGGGCAAAAGCAAAGAATAAAAACTTTAAACATTTAATATAACAAAAAATAACTTTAATTTTACACAACATGATAAGTAACAATTAATGAAAACAAAACCCTTTTATTCACTTGGCTTGAACACAATCAAAAGATAAATATATTCATGTGAAGTTTACGTTAATAACAAAGGTGAAGGTAAAACTTTATACCAAATGCTACGTGCGTCTACCGTCACCCGTGGCCGAGGATAGATGCTGAAGCATTGAGCACTACAAGGGTAATCTGCGCTGGACCTTGTTGTTGTTGTTATAGATTCAGCTACTCGGAACAAGTTCCAAGTAGCACGGGCTATGGTGAGCCCGTAACTTACCTGGTACAGGAGCAGGGCAAGTAGCACGGGCTATGGTGAGCCCGTAACTTACCTGGCACAGGAGCGGGGCAAGTAGCACGGGCTATGGTGAGCCCGTAACTTACCTGGCACAGGAGCAGGACAAGTAGCACGGGCTATGGTGAGCCCATAGTGGACTTACCTAGCACAGGAGATGTGCTGTGCGCTGGACGCTGGCAAGCCTTTATATACGGGGTGCGACATCATTTTGGCGCTAATTCTGGAGCTGTAGACTAGCGGCAAGATAACTACCATCACGATAGTTTGTATGGTGTCGGGAGCGCTGGCTAGACGGCAGATGGGCTGTCTCTCACTGAAGGTATGGTGGAGGGGGGGGGCGTGCCTAGACAATACGTGTGGCACATATTGTTGTTGCTGCTGAGTCTTGAAGTTGGAGCATGCTGATTCGTAGGTGGTAAGGAACAGGCAGAATCTACTGCTATGCAGGTGATAACTGTAACAATACATATATGCTCCTAGTTGAGCAGAGACATCAATTGAAAGAAACTGACTCCCGGCCTATGTTTCTCTCATATCTACTTAATAATATATTTCTCTCATACACCACGTCCCCGGGACACAGTCCGCAAGAGCTATCAAAGGTCCAGGTACCTATTTACTGCTAGGTGAACAGACGACTCAGGACATAGCAACTACCCATTTGTTTCTACCTTGACCGGGAATCGAACCCTGACCCCTAGGACTACGACCCCAGAGGTGTTCACTCGGCTGAGTGCTTAACTATTTGTACTCACCTAGTAGTCCTTGTGGGGAATGAGCTTCGGCTCTTTGGTCCCGCCTCTCAATTGTCAATCAACTGGTGTGCAGATTCCTGAGCCTACTGGGCTCTATCATATCTACATTTGAAACTGTGTATGGAGTCAGCCTCCACCACATCACTTCCTAGTGCATTACATTTACTAACTACTATGGAATTGAAAACGTTATTTCTAATGTCTCTGTGGCTTATTTGGGTACTCAGCTTCCAACTGTGTCCCCTTGTGCGTGTGCCTCCCGTGTTAAATAATCCAGTCTTGTCTACCCTGTCAATTTCCCTAAGAATTTTGTATGTGGTAATCATGTCTTCCCGAGCTCTTCTATCTTCCAGCGACGTGAGGTGCAGTTCACACGGGCATTCCTCTCTGAACTTTTTACAGCTTTGTGCTTGACAATGTACGGGTTCCATTCTTTTTACTCCATACTCCAGGAGTGGTTTTACATAAGTGGTATACAAGGTTCTGAAGGATTCATTACACAGGTTTCTGAAGGCAGTTCTGATGTTAGCCAGCCTTGCATATGCCGCTGATGTTATTTTTTTATATGGGCTTCAGGAGCCCATATAAAAAAATAACATCAGCGTGATATCAACTCCTAGATCTTTCTCTTTGTCCGTTTCATGAAGGACTTCATCTCCCATTCGGTATCCTGTGTCTGGCCTCCTATTTCCTCCGCCTAGTTACATTACCTTACATTTACTTGGGTTTAACTTTAGTAGTCATTTGTTGGACCATTCCTTCAGTTTGTCTAGGTCATCATGTAGCCTCATACTATCCTCCTCTGTCTTAATCCTTCTCATAATTTTTGCGTCATCTGCAAACAATGAGAGGAACGAGTCTATTCCCTCTGGGAGATCATGTACATATATCAGAAACAGTATAGGTCCAAGAACTAATCCCTGCGGGACTCCACTGGTGACGCTTCGCCACTTCAAGACCTCCCCGCTCACGGTGACTCGCTGTCTTCTGTTGCTTAGGTACTCCCTTATCCAGTGGAGTACCTTCCCTTTCACTCCTGCCTGCATCTCCAGCTTGTGCACTAGTCTCTGGTGTGGTACTGTGTCAAAGGCTTTCTGACAATCCAAAAATTTGCAGTCTGCCCACTTCTCTCTTTCACGCCAGATTTTTGTTGCCTGACAGTAGAATTCAATTTTTCCATGAGGCATGACGTCATGTACTCACCTAGTTGTGCTTGCAGGGGCTGAGCTCTGGCTCTTTGGTCAGATGTGTGTGTGTAAACATGTCCTGCAACATGATTTATTGATCCATAAAGAATGTTGCAATATTGCCGCCAATATAACCCTGTTGAATAAAAGTAAGGAAGCAAGAATATTCCCGGTATGTGACAGTAATTATCTAGCATGCGGCTAGCGGTATACCCGTGATAGCTCTGCACGTGGTAAAGTAACGGCTCTAGACCCATATGACAAGAACATTTCAGGTCAGTAATGTAGGTTTTGCAACATTTGAGTGGTTTGATCATGAGTAAAGATGGACATAACGAAACATGAATCTCTAAACCCTAAGATTTATCCTCGTAAAGTTGCGTCTGTCGGCTTATTTCACATTATATGTTTTAACATTCAATTAATTAAGCAGGTAGTGCTAAAAATATTCACTAACATTTTTAAATTATTCTATGATAAAAACTCTATTTTTAGAGTATTTAACGCGGCAACGTAGTTAGCCCTGATGTAAAAAAAATATTTGTCTAAAAATTAAAATAAATTTTGAAAAAAATAAATAAATGTTGATATTGAAACAGAAGTTAGCGAGGTATAGAATGTGCGTGTAGAGTAAGTGTGGGCGTGGGCTGAGAGTGGGCGTGCAGGCGCGCGTCTGGGTTTGAAAATGGCGCCACCGATAGTTGAGTCGGCCGCCACCAGGTGGCCCTGCGCGCTGTAAACTAAACTTGAAAATGGCGTCCATGAGCAGCGGTACGTATACTCCATTCTCTGTTTTGTCTCCGTTTTGTGACTATGTGGACATCATGGGTGCTTTCTTGTTGGCAACCAGTCCCATCTTGAAGGCGGTCATCGGCCGCGGTGGTTGGCGAGGGCCGGAGATGCGTAGTGAGGTGGTGGAGGCGGAGTGTAGGTGGGTTAGGCTTCTTCCCTGTGTCTCTCTCCCAGGCCTTGAGGGCCCACTCCAGGTCAATTTAAGCGGGCCTGTAGTGTGTGTGTTGACGTGGGGCGTCGGTGGCAGTGGTGGGTGAGTGTTGTGGTGTGTGTGAGGAGGAGGTGGAGGTGGTGGGTGTGTTGACGGGGCTGTGGTAAGAGTGTGGCGGTGGTGGTGTGTGGCGCGGGCTGGCGCAGCGGCGTCTTGGTCTGTGTGTGTGTGTGTGTGTTTGGTGGTGGTGGTGGGGGGAGGGGTTCTCTCACCCCCTCCTCCTCCTCCTCTTCCCCCCCCCCCTCAACCCCCTCTCTACCTCCTCCCTAACCCCACTACGATAGTGAGGGGGAGGGTTGACAGGTGTGTGTGTGTGGGGGGACGGGTGTGTGATGGGATGCCGCAGGGTTCCACATGTATCTGGAGCCTCGCCTTTCTCTTTACTTTCTCGTATGCAGTCCACTCACTCCCTCCCTGCCTCCTGCCCTCCTCTCAACCCCTGTATGGTTGTGGGGGGGAAAGAGCATTACAAACCTGCAACCACTGTATTCATGGGAGGCGGGGAGGGGGGGGGGCATGGTAGGTGTGTAGATGGGTGCTGTGCTACAGGGTTAAACATGTTTGGGACCTGATCTCTCTGTTGTTGATCCCCCCCCCACACACTCAAAATAATGATAGTGGGAGGGACATGGTTGAAGGTGACAGGTGTGTGTGGGGGTGTGTAGTGGGGGTGCTGCAAGGCTACAAAAGTGCCGGGAATTGCCCCCCCCCCTTCCCCTTTTCAAGTTTTTTTTTTAAGTGTGCAGTATATAGATTAGCATCTTTGGTTTGGTAGGAAGATTAATTTGAAACAGAGCAAGACTAAACATTGTACTCACTGTGGTACAGGTGTAGGGTTATCTTGAGGCTATATTGAGATTTTGGGGCTTAGCGACCTCGTGGCCCGGTCCTCGACCAGACCTTTTTTTTTTGTTACCCACAGGACTCAGCCCGTAGCAGTTGTCTAACTCCCAGGTACCTATTTACTGCTAGGTGAATAGGGGCATCAGGGTGAAAGAAACGACCCATCTGTTTCCGCCTCTGCCGGGGATCGAACCCGGAACCTCGGGACTACGAATCCCGAGCGCTGTCCACTCAGCCATCAGGCCCCCCTTTCAGTATTCTACAATACCCTGGGGGCAAGAGTATTGAAGGTCCTTTAATATTCATCGACTCCATTAAGGCATCCCAGAAAGTTTGATAATTATTTTTGTGAATGACAGAAATAATGTATGAAATAAAGGTTCAGCCATTTTTCATTTATAAGCAAAACATTCATGATATCATAAGGACTAGCAGACGGTGGCTATGGTCTCAACTACAAAGTTCAGACTCCGGGGTTGGACCCCAGGGCAAGAGATGCTTGGTCATGTTTCTTTTTAGCTGATTCCTGTTAATGTAGCAGTAAATAGGTACCCAGGAGTTTAGCATTTGTTATGGGGTTGCATCCTGTGGAAGGTCAGTAGTTCCATGATGGATGGGTGGGGGGGGGGGGGATACAAGCCTGAAATATGTGCACGCTTATGTCATTACCTGAGTGTAGTTACAGGATGAGAGCTATGCTCGTGGTGTCCAGTCTACCTAGTATTCTTGCCATATAAATTTGAAACTATTGACGGTTTTGGCTTCCACCACCACCTCACTTGTTCCAATCTTGTACCACTGTTTGCAAAAGTGAACTTTCTATGTGTTTTTCAGCAGCTTTGTTTCCTTTGAATATATTTCCTCTTGTTCTTGATGTTGCAGTTATCCAAATTTTTCTTTGTCAGTTTTGTTGATTCTTGTTACTATTTATATCACATCACCTCTTTTTCTTCTAGCTTCTAGCTTTGGCATATTTAATGCCTTTAACCTCTCCTCATAACTCTTGCTTTTGGGTGTAATCATGTCAGAAGAGACTTTACCATTAAAGAACACAATGAAGTACCTGTTGCCACTGTAAGAAAAATGACAGGTTGGATAATGAGATAGTTTCAAACAAGAGATGCCATACCACTGATGATACTTTTATAGATGCTAGTGTTCTCGGGAGTGGAATACTGTTGCACAGTGACAGCCCCTGTCAAAGCTGGAGAAATTGCTGACTTGGTGAGCTTGCAGAGATACTTTATTGCTCGACTCCACTTGATAAAACATCTAAATTATTGAGGCCGATTAAAATGTTTAAATCCAAATTTTGTAGAGATATACAGTACAGTACTTAATATCTCTCAGGAGATATTACATTGTATTATCAGGAGAGTTAAATAATAATTTATACAGTACAGTACTTGGAAAAATTGGAGGAGGACTGGTTCCAAATTTGCACATAGAAATAACATCGCATGAGACCAGAAAGCAAGGCAGGATGTGCAGAATTACCCCATTGAAAAAGAAGAGGTGTAACAAGTACACTGAGAGAGAGAGAGAACTCTTATTAACATCAGAGGCCCGAAACTGTTCAGCACACTTTCACTTCACATAGCTGGCTGACCTCTCACGGTGTTCAAAAGGGAACTTGTTAAACACCTCCAAAAGATACCTGATCAATCAGGCTGGGAGTCGTACATCAGGCTGCAAGCATTCGCATCCAACAGCCTAGTTGACCAGACTTGACTGCCCAGGAGGCCTGGGCAGAGTCCGGGGCTACAGGGATGTTGATCCCAAAAATCAATGCAAGGTATATATAGTCTCTGGCATCTTAAGCTATATTATATCATTTAGGTCCAGTATTTATCTCGTCCATCTACTGTATATTAGTACAGTATATATGATTTTCAGGAACATGTTCCCACTCCCTTTCACTCTTTCACTCACCCTTCCTTAAATGATATTGTTGGTTTGTTTCTGTGCTCCATTTTGCAGGTTTTCTGATCCCTATCACCTTGTGGGTAAAAAAAAATGAGATCTTCCACATTCCTACCTTCATTTAGATGTTTTGCTTTGGTGATGTTTAGTTTTAGCTTCATTTTTGCCATTGTGCATGTACTGGTATCTATAGTTACAGGATGAGAGCTATGCTTATGGTGTCCTGTCTTTTTAGTCTCGTCATATGACGCTGTGAAACTACTGCTGGTTTTGGCCTTCACCTCCTCATTTTACTTGTTTCCAGCTGTTGTCCACTCTGCAAAAGTGAATGTTCTAAATTGTTTTTTGGTAGCATTGTTTCCATAGTTTGAGCCTATTTCCTCTTGTTCTTGATGTTGCAATTTAAAACAAATTTTTTTTTGTCAATTTTGTTGATACGTACCTGTTACTATTTTGTATATAGTGATCATGTCGCCTCTTTTTCTACTACATATCGAATAGCTTTGGTATATTTAATGCTCCTAACCTCTACTTATAGCTCTTGTTACTTCTGCACATCCTGCCATGCCTCATGATCTCATGTGACACTATTTCTGCATGTATATTTGGAGCTAGTCCCCCTAATATTTTCCAAGAGTATTATGTATCTCCTGCCTGCACTCTAAAGATTACAGATTTAAAATTTTTAACCAGTCAAAATAATTTAGATGTCTTATTGAGTGGATTCTAGCAGTAAAAGATCTTTACACATTGTCCAGGTCAGCAATTTCTTGTTTTGAATGGGCTGTTATTGTGTAACAATATTCCACTCTAGAGAGCACTTGTATTGTGAAAAATATCACTATTGGTATGGCAGCTCTTGTTTGAAAGGTTCTTTTGATTTGATTTTCTGTTACTTTTAAATGTCTGCCATGGAAGACAAGCAAAATGCTGATGTGATAGACACAGATTTTATGAAAGCTTTTGACAAGTGTTACCTTAGTATTATTGCACACAAAATATGCACAAAAGGAACGGCTGGCAAAGTATAAAGGTGGATTTTTAATTTCCTAATGAACAGAACCCATTGTGTAAAAGTCAATCCAGATAATCCAATGTGAAAAGCTTGGTACTCCAAGGTTCCGTGCTTGGTCCTTTACTATTTCTCATCTTCCTATCAGACATTGACGAGAACACAAAGTATAGTAATGTATTGTCTTTTGCAAATGGCATTAGAATATTTTTTAGTGGACAATATAAAGGACACAGCAAACCTCCAAACTGATGTAACTCAGGTCTTTCAATGGGCCATGGAAAAAAAGGTCTATTGAACATACGTTCCAGCTTCTGTGCCATGGAAGAAACTGAAATATCAAAATGGAAACTGCATATAAAATGCGGCTATAGAGGGAAAAAGCAATACTGTATACATATTTGAGGACAATCATGTTGGAAGACCTAGCTTTTAGGGAACACAATGAAACAGCTGTCACAACTGCAAGAAAAATGACAGCTTTGGCTAACGAACCTTTCAAACATGATGCCAGACCATTAATGGTACTGATACTAATATTGTTGCTCAATAACAGCCCCATTGAAAGTTTGAGAAATGGGCAATCTGAAGACTATGCAAAGATCTTTTACTGCCAGAATCCACTCAATAAAACTTCTAAATTATTGGGACTGCTTAAAAGTTTAAGCCTGTATTCCTCTAGTGTGTGGGCAGAAAAGCATGGCAGGATGTGCAAAATAGCCCCATTGAAACGCAGAGGTCTAATAGGTAAGCTGAGAGAGAATTGTCATCAAGATTTTTCAGCATTCTTCCTCTAAACAATAAGGTGTATAACTAGCTGACTTCTCAGTGTTAAAAAGAGAACTTGATAATCACCTCCAAAGGATACCTGCTCAAACAGACTATGATTCATTCAGGCTGCAAGCACTAGGCCTGATAAGAGACTGGAATGAGTGTGTGTTGATTTTAGGAGCCAACAAAAGGTAACCGAAAGGTAACCTCTATAGATGCAGCCTGATGTGAAGGCAAATTCTTACTGTTAAAATCTTCATCAGAATTTCATTTTTCTCACCTGTCAGTTTAATGACTTAGGTTTCTTTTTAAGGGTTTCTTGAGCCTTACCAGAAGCTGGATGCTTCAGAAAAACTATGGTGCAGGAATGTAAAAGCAAGTTAAACTTAAGGTTTAGTTTAAGCTTAGAGAGTCACATGAGGAAAGTGTGGGGGAATGACAATTTGTGCATATTTGAGGTGCCTCTTTGCACTAAGAATTTGTGTTGTAAACAGATTCACTCATTTCTGAATTACCCCACTCCAGACTTGCTCAGATTAGGGAACAGTGGTACTGTATTCTTGAAAGTGACACACTCGGCAAGTGTTAATGAATTTCATCAAGGAAGAAAATAACATGACAGTGTATAGAATCTTGTACAGTACAATCAAATAGAATGGAAGAAAATTGAGTGTTGCTACCCATCTTGCAAATTTAATATTACAGTACTGAAGAATATATTATACAATATATAGTAAATATAAATAGTCTTCCCTGATGTTGGTGTTTCTTTGTATTCCGAGATATTCTGGCCCGAAGATATCTTTTGTGATTACACTTATGCGATCGAAACGTATCCCGTTTATAGTCTCATGGTTTCTCAATCCTGCTTTCAGCATTAAACAATTCTGGATCTTCTCTTTACTGAATGATTCATAGATTGTTTACATTTTTATTTCAGGCATGTCTAATGGGACCAGTAAGCCTGGATATATGAATAGTTTTTTGTCATTCATTGAGAATCAGGAGCCAGGTGAAAAACCTGCTGAAATGACTGAGCCTCAGCCAGAAGTGAACACTACTTCAGGTATGTTGATTAGCATTAAGAAAACTATATTTTCTTGAGGTAGGGAAAGGGGATAGGATTGTGAATGAATCTAGTCTGTCCCCATGCAAGTCTCTACCATGTTTTAAGTGGGAAATGGAATATAAGGATCACTAAGCATCCAGGATTCCTATTCGAATGTAAACTCTTAAGTTATTAACTTATGTTTAAAACTTATTCGTTGATGGTTTTCTTCACTTGAAATAAAAACGTGTTTTATTGCATAACAAGATTTAAAATTTGTTCATAAATGTTGTAAATGTGTGTGTTACTTTTTCACCCGAGCCTAAAATATTGTCCTGTACAGCCTGTACCATTTTTATGGATTGTGCACTCAATCAAGATGACATGCAACATGGTGCCACAGGACATTTTCAAGAATTTTGCAGGGTCATATTGTGCTGGGGGAATCACTGAAGAAAGAATTAAAATGCAGTTTGTAAATTGCCATCAGAGATCATTTCACAAACAAAAAATTATCCCTGTCATCACAAACAAGCAAGGCTGTAGAGGGCTGTGCTTGTGATGGCAGTATATTACACATAAATATCAGGAGCATTAAAGGTAATTTGTGTACACAGGAATAGTGGTGTTATAATTGCCAGAATGATTAGATGAGGAGGAAGTGTTTATCAGTGCTTACCTATTGACTATGGGGAGTGAGACCTAGTTCTTTATCCCTAGCATCCTAGCTGTTCTTGCTGAGCATGATAATTACCCCTCTCAACATTAATGGTTTCATGTATTTCTTTTTAAAGAGGCATTAGAGTGGTGTTGGAAAAGTTGTTCAATGTCGACCAATATTATTTGACTAGTTGTATATGAAAAGTGCTGAAATTGTCCCAAGTTTCAGTATTGCAGCGTAAATAGAAAGGGAGATTTTTTTTTTGTTTTTTTCAACGTTTTTTTACACATTTTCAAGTCTACACTTCAGAACACACGTTTCAGATATAATTATTGTGACACTTTTCTGACACATTAGCATATAATAAAGGATTGTGTGTTTTAGAATTTCCAAAACATCTTTAGTTTTCCTAATACATATGTTCAAAGTTCCCCCAAAAAATTATGCAAATATGGCATGTTTATTGTTATTATAAAATCAATAAATGAACTTAGAGAAAAATGAAAACATGCAAATGTAGAGACATGCCCTCCACATATACTGTATAAGTTTCATGTAAATTGAATAAAAAATGAATCAGTTTTGTAAATGTTTGTGTCAATTGAAAAAAAAAAACAAATGAATAAAGTCTAATGAATGAATAAAGAAATGAATAAAGGTTCTAAAATCTGTGGCTGAGGTTGACATCAACCAATTTTCTCCAACATTGGCATCCTTACAGATAGGCTTACGTACAGTCAGGTGTGTAAGTTTGATGCAAACCGCCCGAAAAAAAATGAAAAAAAAAAAAATTGGGGAAAAAAAAATACATCTTGTGTATTAATCTTTTGTGTGAAACAGTATCAAAAGTTTTTAGCAGTTTAGGAAGATGCAATTGACCTATCCTTCATTCTCTTGTCTTTGTGATCCTGTCATAGAATTCAATGAAGTTTATTTAGCAAGATTTTCTCAACTGCTTGATACCTACTTAATGGGGTTCTGGGAGTTGTTCTACTCCCTAAGCCAGGCTTGCCCTGTGAGAGCTTGATCCAACAAACTATTGCTTGGAGTGGCCTGCAAACCCACATATCTACCACAGCCTGGTTAGTCCAACACTTCTTGAAGAAAAATATCTAGTTTTCTCTTGGAAGATGTCCACGGTTGTTCCGGCAATATTTTTTTTTTATACTCGCTGGGAAGATGTTGAACAACCGTGGACCTTTGATGTTTATACAGTGTTCTCTGATTGTGCTTACGGCACCCCCTGCTCTTCACTGGTTCTATTCTGCATTTTCTTCCATATCGTTTACTCTAGTAAGTTGTTATTTTACTGTGTAGATTTAGTACCTGGCCCTCCAGTATTTTCCACGTGTATATTATTTGATATCTTTCTAGTGTCCTTTCTAGTGAGTACATTTGGAGTTGAGACGGTCCCAATAATATAGGAGCTTTATCACGTCTTATGTATGCCGTATATGTTCTCTGTATTCAGCAAGGCCAGATTGGTATTTGATTGTCAATCAAATAACCTTATTTATATATATATATATATATTAGTATATTTTGGTAGCAGTCTTTCCTGTAGACATATATTATTAAATATGACCAAAAAAGTAAGATTAATAATTCTAATACGAATGACTCCGCTCCAATATAGAAGCATCAAGAAATATGGACCAATAGGCTTTCTACAAACACTTCTATTCAATACCCATTGTTTCTGTTCTGTCTTGTGTTGATACTTTTAATACCCTATTAATATCCCCTCCTGTTCTGTCTTGTGTTAATGCCACATCACCCTTCCCACCTCACTCAAATGTAGATATAATATCAGAGAGACGTAAGTTCTAATCAGTTGTGTATTTGTGAAGTCTTTGAAAATGTAATAAGTTTTACGAAACGCGCCCGTGTCGCGTCAGACTAGAAATAAAAATGAATTTTGGAGAAGTGATTTTTGATTTACCTCCAACAGTGAAGCGTAATGTACGAAAGATTGAGAAAATTCGTGTTAGAATTATTAATCTTACTTTTTCGGTCATATTTAATAATATATATGTATATATATATATATATATATATATATATATATATATATATATATATATATATATATATATATATATATATATATATATTTATTTATAACTTAGAGAAAATGAAATATCTACACAGTATATGTATGTATGTATGTATGTATGTATGTATGTATGTATATGTATATATATGTATATATATGTATATATATATATATATATATGTATATATATATATGTATATATATATATGTATATATATATATGTATATATATATATATATATATATATATATATATATATATATATATATATATATATATATGTCGTACCTAGTAGCCAGAACGCACTTCTCAGCCTACTATGCAAGGCCAAATTTGCCAAATAAGCCAAGTTTTCATGAATTATTTGTTTTTCGACTACCTAACCTACCTAACCTAACCTAACCTAACTTTTTCCGTTACCTAACCTAACCTATAAAGGTAGGTTAGGTTAGGTAGGGTTGGTTAGGTTCGGTCATATATCTACGTTAATTTTAACTCCAATAAAAAAGAAATTGACCTCATACATAATGAAATGGGTAGCTTTATCATTTTATAAGAAAAAAAATAGAGAAAATATATTAATTCATGAAAACTTGGCTTATTACGCAAATCGGGCCTTGCATAGTAGGCAGAGAAGTGCGTTCTGGCTACTAGGTACACGACATATATATATATATATATATATATATATATATGTCGTACCTAGTAGCCAGAACTCACTTCTCAGCCTACTATGCAAGGCCCGATTTGCCTAATAAGCCAAGTTTTCATGAATTGTTTTTCGACTACCTAACCTACCTAACCTAACCTAACCTAACTTTCTCTACTACCTAACCTAACCTAACCTATAAAGATAGGTTAGGTTAGGTTAGGTAGGGTTGGTTAGGTTCGGTCATATATCTACGTTAATTTTAACTCCAATAAAAAAACATTGACCTCATACATAATGAAATGGGTAGCTTTATCATTTCATAAGAAAAAAATTATAGAAAATATATTAATTCAGGAAAACTTGGCTTATTAGGCAAATTTGGCCTTGCATAGTAGGCTGAGAAGTGCGTTCTGGCTACTAGGTACGACATATATATATATATGTCGTACCTAATAGCCAGAATGCACTTCTCGGCCTACTATGCAAGGCCCGATTTGCCGTACCTAATAGCCAGAATGCACTTCTCGGCCTACTATGCAAGGCCCGATTTGCCTAATAAGCCAAGTTTTCCTGAATTAATATATTTTCTCTAATTTTTTTCTTATGAAATGATAAAGCTACCCATTTCATTATGTATGAGGTCAATTTTTGTTATTGGAGTTAAAATTAACGTAGTTATATGACTGAACCTAACCAACCCTGCCTAACCTAACCTAACCTATCTTTATAGGTTAGGTTTGGTTAGGTAGCCGAAAAAGTTAGGTTAGGTTAGGTAGGTTAGGTAGTCGAAAAACAAATAATTCATGAAAACTTGGCTTATTTGGCAAATTTGGCCTTGCATAGTAGGCTGAGAAGTGCGTTCTGGCTACTAGGTACGACATATATATATATATATATATATATATATGTCGTACCTAGTAGCCAGAACTCACTTCTCAGCCTACTATGCAAGGCCCGATTTGCCTAATAAGCCAAGTTTTCATGAATTAATGTTTTTTCGTCTACCTAACGTACCTAACCTAACCTAACCTAGCTTTTTTTGGCTACCTAACCTAACCTTACCTATATATATAGGTTAGGTTAGGTTAGGTAGGGTTGGTTAGGTTCGGTCATATATCTACGTTAATTTTAACTCCAATAAAAAAAAATTTACCTCATACATAGTGAAAAGGGTAGCTTTATCATTTCATAAGAAAAAAATTATAGTAAATATATTAATTCAGGAAAACTTGGCTTATTAGGCAAATCGGGCCTTGAATAGTAGGCTGAGAAGTGAGTTCTGGCTACTAGGTACGACATATATATATATATATATATATATATATATATATATATATATATATGTCGTACCTAGTAGCCAGAACTCACTTTTTGGCCTACTATTCAAGGCCCGATTTGCCTAATAAGCCAAGTTTTCCTGAATTAATATATTTTTTCTAATTTTTTTCTTATGAAATGATAAAGCTACCCATTTCATTATGTATGAGGTCAATTTTTTTATTAGAGTTAAAATTAACGTAGATATATGACCGAACCTAACCAACCCTACCTAACCTAACCTAACCTATCTTTATAGGTTAGGTTTGGTTAGGTAGCCGAAAAAGTTAGGTTAGGTTAGGTTAGGTAGGTTAGGTAGTCGAAAAACAAT